GCCTAGAGCCAGGCAAACACCGCGGCGCCGAGCCAGGTCGGCTGCGGTGCGACTCCTCCTCCTCCTCCTCCTCCTCCTCCTCCTCCTCCTCCTCCTCCTCCTCCTCCTCCTCCTCCTCCTCCTCCTCCTCCTCCTCCTCCTCCTCCCCCTTGTCCTCCCAGTCCTAGTCGGCACTTTGAAGCTCAGGCCCTGGCGGGCGACGATACAAAAACCAGCGCAGGGAAATACACTCAGCCGACTGATACGGGACCTGCCCCAGATCACGGGACAGGAGGGAAAGCCCCGTGCATGAGTTTTACTGAGGGAAAAGTAGCGGATCTGCTTCTTACGAGTGAACTTCTCGGTCCTGCTTTGCACGGATCTCGGGAGGGGGGTTCCGCCGTGTGGGCCTCCACTCCCGTCCCTCCCTTGTTCATGTGACCCGCGCTCGCACGTCGGAGTGACCCTCCACCGACGCCTCGGCAGCGGGCAAACAGCCCGCTGCTCCAGGCAGGCACGCCCTCATGAGGAGTGAGAGCCCTGCATCCGTATCAACCCACGCAGGGGTCATCTTGCTGTTCCTAGTCCTTCGAACTTCAGACCCCCAAGCGCCACTACCCTACCTTACCTTCCCGTCGTTGTCCCCCTCCTCCTCCGTTTTCCCCCTGTACCTGTCCCTGGTGGCATTTGGTTTGAAAGGCCACTCCTCCCCCTTTACCTCTTCATCCTCCTCCTGCTCTATCTCCTGATCCTGCTGCTCCTACCCCTGACCGGGGAGAGCGAACCAGGGGAGAAGGAAGGAGGCGAAGGGCAAGAGAAAGAGAGAGAGAGAGGCTGAAAGGATCCGAAAGAAGGGTGCACAACACCAAAACTAGTGCCAACACGCACCACAGGCGCACAGTGTCATGGCGCATGGCGTCATAACGGGTCGCGGGAGAGAGAGAGAGAGAGAAAGAGAAAGAAAGGGAGAGAGAAATAAAGAGAGAGAGAGAGAGACAAAAAAAGAGAGGGAGAGAGAGAGAGAGAGAGAGAGAGAACGAGAGAGGGAGAGAGGAGCAGGAGGAGGAAAGGAGGAGGTGAGGAGGAGGAGGAGGAGGAGGAGGAGGAGTACACGGCCCCCAGAGAGAGAGAGAGAGAGAGAGAGAGAGAAAAAGAGAAAGAGAGAACAACAAAAAACAAGAGAGAGAGAGAGAGAGACAAAGAGCGGACAAGGCGCGAAAAGAGGGCAAGGACGAGAAAGAAAAGAGAGAGTGTCCAATGGTCTGATGAGGCTATCCAGGCCGACGTTGCACCCCTTGGAGGCGACCGTCTCGCCTCGCTGGACTACGCAACCTCGCACGGAGTTGCCTATATGTGGCACGCTCCCCACGCGTGCCACGAGCTTTCATCGCGCGGTAAACGTGATGTACAGTATCTATGAAAAGGGCACAGGCAAGCAGCTGAGAGTCAGAGAGCGGGGTGAAAGGATAGAAGGACAAGCGCTCGAGAGCCGAGGCGCGGCAGAGAAAGGGGAGGAAGGGCGGGCAGCAGGCGGACAAGACTAAGAAGACGGGGCACTCGATAATATGTATGATATCGTCACCTCCGAGGGCATAGCCACAAAGACGGCAAGATTCAGTGGGCCCAGGCAAGCGACGAGAAGTGCACCAGGCGCTGCAGACTGTCTTGACAACGCAGGCGAGCACAAAAGGCGGGGCAAGCTTGGACAGTCGGCGTAAGCACGAGATTAGAGCATCAATGTCGGCCTCATGGGCCGCGGGCGTAAAGAATCTGAGTATGGCAGTGAGGGTGGCGCGGCAAGGTATGCTCGCCTGGCGCTGCGCAAGAAGATCAGTTTTTCGCTGCAGCTGCCTATCGCAGAATCGAAGGGCCTGCGGGATCTCAGAGATGCGCTTCCAATTTCTCTTGAGCTGCTGGATCATGGACCTGTGGAACATTTCTGGCGAGCGCATGGCAAGAAGCGACTCTCTGCATCCACCCTCCTCCTCCATCAGATTGCAACAGGTGTGGAATGCGCCCGAGGCAAGCGCCACTCGGCACATCGCGGCAGGGCCTGCAGAGCACAACCCTCGAGCTTGAATCGCAAAACCTAGACCAGTGAGGGACGTCATGATCTGGTCGGTGAACGCATTGCGGGGCCCTCTCACGAGGGTCTGCAGGGCTTCTCTTTCAGCAGCGAAGGCTTCTGTAGAACGCGCGAGGAGCTGCATCGCGTGCCCCGGGACAGGGAAGGCCCTCAAGTCGCACTGCCCCGCAGATTGGACACGCCCAGGGTCCAGGGAGCGGATCAGCCAGGCGCGTTCCCGAAGCTTGCGAGCAGGAGCGATCCAGGAAATTCCGTGGCGCCCAGGTCCAAGAACGGGTCCGAGATAAACGGCGCGCGCGCAGATTTCGAATTGCTTGCTCAGGGCGCCCGCTTCTCCCATGCAGGCGAACACGTGATCTTTGTACGGGAACTTAAAGGGCACTACCTTCGTCTTCTCGACGTTTAAACACAGGCCAGCAGCGCGCGCAGCTAGCTGAAATACTTGAAGAACGAGGGAAAGACAAGCGTAGATGTCCTGAGCAACGAGACCTGTGTCATCTGCAAACACCGCGAGACAAGCTTCATCCCTGGGTAGCTTCGATACCAGCACACGGATAAACGGGTCGAAAACGTGGCAGAAGATCGAACCACTCAGGGGTCCGCCCTGTTTCACCACGGAGAACACGGAAAAAAAGCTCGTCGCGGTCCGCAGAGGAAGATTTGCACTTTGATGTCACGGTAGAGCTCCGCGATCGCGTGCAAAATAGCTTCGGGGGAGCCCATGGTCTTCAAAATGATGAGAATGAATACGTGCAGCACCGACGGGAACGCAGCACGAATGTCGAAAAAGGTGCATCCCGTCTTGCCTGCACCTAGCTGGCACCACCAAGAGACAGCTCGAGTTTCCAACTCGAGAATATTGGAAAGCATATCGCGTCCAGCACTAAATCCTCGCTGACGCTCGTGACAAACTTCTTGGCAAATTCGACTGACGGGTCGATTGATGGCGAGGGCAATGAGTTCGTTGTCGGCATTGCTGAGGCATAAGGGGCGGGCGTCTTCGGGGAGACGCTGGACACGTTCGTCGTCAGTTTCACGGGTACCTTTGGGGAGAAAGACGCCCAGGGAGTGATTGAATCCATCGGGGGGCTTTCCGAAATTGACGACATCCACGCAAAGCTATTAAAGCAACTGGAAAGCCGCTGGGCCCGCCCGAGTCCACGCAGAGTAAGGTAGCCCGTCAGGGCCAGCACCTGTGTCGTGCAGACGACTTAACATGTCCTCAGATTCGGGCTGCTCGAGCTTCCAGAACACGACCCCAGGAACTGGCTGAATGGACGGCTTGATCCGCTCGACGGCAGCCTCATCAACCGCGACAGGCGCATGCGCGGACCCCCAGTGATTGGCAAGCCTCTCGGCAGCAAGGTTCGGGTCCGTTTCGCACCGGCCCTCGCTGTCGAGGATGCCCGACGAAAGGATCTGGCGGATGTTGGTGCTCCACACCGAGTAATATTGCATCATGTCTTGTTTCTTGGCGAGCTTATGGGCGGGGGGGGGCGAGCCTCGATCAATCTCAGCAATGTCAGCGTCAATGAGAGCCGCGGAGATGGAGCCGAGGAAAACGTGAAAGCCAGCTTCGTCGAGCCAGGCGTAGTCAGTAGCATCCGCGAACTTGCCGAGGGAAGGGGAGACACGGAGCGCAAGCACGATTTTGGGGATGTTACCAGTGGCCATGCCCCTGACGACAGCGAGAGCCCACGAGACCTTCTCGGCGGGGGTGGCGGCTTCGCGCTGGCAGGCTGTGCCCATGGCGCGCCGTGCGGCAGCGCGAGAGATATCTTTAAATTCAAGCGCGCGCTGATAAGCATTCTGAGAGAGACTGTCTTGGCCTCTTTCCTCGATCACTTCAGCCACATGTTGGGGGTAGAGCGGGCCCCTCGTGACCCATCGCGGAATCCTCGGGGCCTCGGGGGGCTTGGCGGACACCAGGATAAGAGCGACGGGGGCGTGGTCCGAGGGGTTCTTGTGGACCAGGGCAGAACCGATCGTGAAACTCCCAGGGTTCAGGTCCAGGATGTGGGCGGGAAACAAATTCATGTAGATGCGGTCGTTTCTTCCCAAAGATCTCTGGTCTCCTACGTGGCCGAGGTGCGCGCGCTGCATCTGCTGGACTTCCGCCGGGCTGCCCAGAACTGCTTGAGAGTGGCGAGCGAGAGGGGAGTCAGCGCGATGGACAGTTCCTGAAAGGTCGCGCCTGCCCTCGCCGACGGGCTGGAAATTGAAATCCCCTAGCAAAAACGAAGTGCATATAGTGGGGCGCATCATCACATTCTTAACCACGTTCAGGGTCCGCCGTCTTTGAGGTCCGGGAATGTCGGGGGCGAGGCGGAGATTGACTAGTTGGAGCGCCCCCTTTGGTCCTCGGAGAGTAAGACTGCGCAGCCTGCCCGCGGCCAGCTCTGCGCGGTCGAAACTCTCGAAGTGCTTGCAGAGAGACGGGGAGATGAAGATAGCATTGCCGCCAGCAGAGGAGGAGGTACAGAAAGTGCCGCGCGCTCGGGCGCCTTCGCGCTCACGCAGAAAAAGGTCGAGATCTTCCTGCTGTCCGTGGCATTCCTGGAGGCAAACGATGTCGAATTGGTTCAGCAACCTGTCAAGTATATTCACAGGGCGTTTTTTGACGGGTGTGGTCAGCATACGCAGAGGCAAACAGTGTATGGGCGTTCCAAGTAACCATGGGTAACCTTTCGATAATTCGAAACGGATAGCAGGAAGTGAAAGAAGGTGGGGTACGCGAAATGTTCGGGGACGGCGAAACTGATCGCGACGAGCTGGAAGACGAGGAAGAGCAATAATAAGAAGAGGACGAGCAAGCCGAACACGAAGAATGGCGGGGGGAGGAGGGGGGGACAGGCGGCGAGGCAGCTGCAGCCGCGCCTATACAAAAATGGACGCTGGCTTCACTCACGCTCAGCACATCCAGCGTATCTGTTTTCTAGCGCTTGATAGCCTTGGCGATGTCGGTGGCGGTCGTCACGCCGGCCTCAGCGAACCCGACCTTCTTGAGCGCAGCCGCGTCGGGGACGATGACCACGTTGTCGGAGGCATCCTCGCTGACGACGTACAGGCCTTGCACAGCTTCACCGTCGATGAGGAAGAGGATGCCGCGGAACCCGTTGGACCCGAGCTTCATCTTGCCTTTCCACGAGCCCTTGCCTTTCATGAAAGTGATGGTGGATTGCCACAGCGATCCAAGGATCTTGTTGCGCGATCGTACATCATGAGGCGCATCAACTCGCGCACGAAGACACAGCTTCTCGATCGTGACGGGATCGGCGTACGTCAGCATCTCCGGGTTGTCACGCGAGCGCTGGACAAACTCGCTGGCCTGTTCGACTGAGCTGAATTTAAGCGAGAAGCTCTTGTTCAGGTTGTAAGCTTTGATCTGCACAAGGTTGCGCTCGTGTGTGGGAAGGTTGGTCAGGATGGATCTGGCGAACTGCGACATGGAGGCGGCGAGCATCTTGCGCGTGAATCCACCGATCCAAACCTTAGTACGATCACAGTCAGCGTCAGCTCTTCCGAGGTGGAAGCCGTCAGTGCTGGCACCCGTAGAACCTGTAGGGCCCGTGCCGATGCGGTTCCGCTTGCTTCTGTCGGAGTTCACGGAGGCGGACGAGGATTGCATCCTGGCTGTCGAAGATTCGAGCTGGAGAAAACGAGCCTCCAGCTGCTGGTCAAGGCCAGTGTGCTGCGCCTTGTCGAGGGCAGCCATCGCGTTCTTGTTGGCTTCGTCGATCTGCTGCTGCATCTCGACGAACTTGGCGTCGTGGGCCTGCAGCGTCGCTTTGATCTCAGCAGTACCTCCGACTGCAGCTTTCACGTGGCCGATGTCGGCAGTCATGTTCGTCATCTGAGCGAGCAGCTGGGCGATTTGCGACTCCATCAGACTCATACGGTAGGCCGCACACGGCCGAGGAAACAGGAGGGCGGGAAACGCGGGACGAGAGTGGGAAAGCGTTCCTCCAGGAACTTACCGCCTCAAATGAAATCCCAGATGCAGACCCTTGTGTCGCGGGCCGAGTCTGCAAAAAGGCGCGGGTCACTGTACCACCTCGAGAAGATGGCAACTTGAGCCAAAATGGCTTGAGCCAAAATGGCTACGGAAGGAGGAGGAGGAGGAGGAGGAGGAGGAGGAGGAAGAGGAGGACGGGCATGCATCCCATCCCCCTCTTGCGCGGCAATGTCCCGTTTGCCCTCTCTCGAGCGGCGCCGGCTCCGACCTGGAGGGCCCGAGAAGAACCGGCATCCTCTGATCGAGGGGAAGGGGCAGGGCAAGAGGGAGGGGGCAAAGAGCTCGGGCCGCCCCAGAGTGGGCCTTGGCTCCAGTCTCCTCTCAGGCCTCGTCCTCGCCGGCCTCCTCTAACCTGAACTTCGCCTCGGCCCACTCTGCGTAGGTCATGTCTCGGCGATGCCTGCCCTCCGATTGCTCGGCAGCCGGCGATGCCTTGGCGGCCTCGCCCTGCCTCTCGCTGGCACGCCGCCTCTTCGGCGCGTAGTTCGAGACCAGCCCCTCCTGCTCGGCCCGCTTGAGCAGCTGCTTCCGTGGCGCCGCCTTCGGCGTGGGAGCCTCGGAGGGGCAACGTTCGGGAGAGACCACAGCTCAGGGGTGAAACATTGAGCTGGAATCGGCAATACATCGCGGTCGGCGATATGCACCGATAGTGGAACCGCACGTTCCCGAGCGGGGTGGGCCATCGGGCCCCGAATGATCTGCGAGAATTGGGTGATCGGGGGTCGATGCAGTTCCCCCTGGGCATATCCCCGCCCCCCGTGGTTTTCGGGCCCTCCGGCGGTCGTTCGGGACGATCTGGGCACCCCCGGGACGCTCTGGGCGAGGCGCAGCTGCTGGAGAGCGACTCGAGGCTGCTACTGGAGCGTGCCCCGAGGCTGGAAAGCCACCGAGAACTAATCAAAACGCTCGAAAACCTCGAACCTCGAACCTCCCCCTGAGCCAATCTCTCCCTGTTGTTGCCCCTGAACCTCGGACACCGCGGTCGAGAGGATGGCTCCGTCAGTTGAAGTCCTCCTGCCTTGCACCCTTCGTGGGGGTCTGTTGGGACCCTGGAGGGTTTGGGTGCCACTAAGGAGTATCGGAGGTCCGCGGGGCCCAGGGAGTCCGGGGAGTTCTGACGGTATGGTCCAGGGGGCTCCGTCAGGTGGAAGGCACCCTCCCTGGAAGTCGAGGGGGCCTTTGAAGCTAGGGACCCACAGATCCGACGTTGCAAACAACTGCAACATCGCAAAAATCACGACCGGATCCCTCGACCCCAACTGTCCGCGCCATTTTTCGAGCCGGATCGATCTGAGAGGGTCCCAGGGCCCGAAACCAGGCTAATGCGCCCGGCTCGAAAACATCGAGACGCCAGGATCTCAGGGGCCCGGGGGCCGAAGAAGCAGGGATGCTGAAGCAGCGCAGCCTTCCTGCAGCCTTACCTTCCCGTCGTCACCCTGCTCCTCCTCCTCCTCCTCCTCCTCCTCCTCCTCCTCCTCCTCCTCCTCCTCCTCCTCCTCGTCCCCCTCCTGCTCCTCCTCCCTTTCTCCTCCTCCTCCTCCTCCTCCTCCTCCTCCTCCTCCTCCTCCTCCTCCCATGCCTCGGACACCGCGGTGGAGAGGATGGCGGCAGGCGTCCCAGGCGCCACCCGCCCGCCGAGGCTGAGGCCAGGCGCGGGCGTGGCCGGCGCGGGCCTCGACAGCAGCGAGAACAGCCCGCCAGGCGTGGCCGTGCCCCCTGGGAGGAAGAAGCACGCCCGGGTCTTCGACGACATCCTCCTCCTTTTCCTCCTTTCCCTCCTCTTCCTGCTCTTCCTCCTCTTCCTCTTCTTCCTCCTCCTCCTCCCCCTCCTCCTCCTCCTCCTCTTCCTCTTCTTCCTCCTCCTCCCTGGTTCATCCTCCCCTCTTTTCCTCCTCCTCTTCCTCCTCCTCCTCCTCCTCCTCTTCCTCTTCCTTTTCCTCCTGCTCCTCCTCCTCCTCCTCCTCCTCCTCCTCCTTCTCCTCCTCCTCCCTAGCTCTTCCTGCACCAGAAAGAAAGGGATAGGACAGAGGCGGGCCAGCAGCAGCAGCAGCAACAGCAGGAGAAACGGTGTCCTTAGTCCTGCGCGGGTCGGCCTCCTGTGGAGGCCAACCCACCTAAAAGCCGACACGGGCAGAAGCGGGTGGTGCCAACGAGACACCTGCCACTTTCGCCACCCCGTGACCAGGTAGGCGCAGCTGGCGAGAGCGGCTGGGGGGGCAAGAGGGAGAGGAGGAAGCAGGAGGGGGGAGGGAGGAGAGAGCCAGGAAAAAGAGGCGACGGGTGCGCGGCGGCGGGGCGTGAGCCACCCCACCCCGCCCTTAGGCGCTCGCGCACCCGACGGGTGCAAGGAGCGGGGAAGGGGCGGGGGTGAAAAGGGGGGTTTCGCAATGCTCCTCCATCCTCCTCCTCTTCCTCCTCCTCCTCCTCCACCGCCTCCTCCGTTCCTTTCCTTATACATAACTTATCACTGTCGCACCCCGAGACAAGTTTTTAGGGCGGGCCGGGCGTTTCGTCTGAGACTTTCTTATCATGTATGACCCCGAAGCTTGAAAATTAGCAACAGTTCCACTGACGGAGGGCGGGTGGTTTTCAAAATGTGGTTGGCGCTTTAACGGCGCGCACATTGGTCTTTTGTTGGGGAATTTGCCCGAATTTTTCCGATTGAAGGCGGGCCGTTTTCAAAATGCGGCTCTCGCTTTAGTGCCGCGCACATTCGCTCTTTATGTGCGCAAGAACTTCGCACATGTATGGCGGTTCCTTTTCAAGCTGTGGCTCTGCCGCGCACATTCGTTTCTGAAATCACAATAGTCTCACGGATTGGCGGCGGGTGGTTTTCGAAATGTGGCTCTCGCTTTAGCGCCGCGCACGCTCGATTTTTGAAAAACTTGCAAGGGCTTCACGGATTGAGGGCGGGTCGTTTTCAAAATGTAGCTGTCGCCTTAGCGCCGCGAGCACTCGTTTTTTAATTCGCAAGAGCTTCGCGGATTGAGGGTGGTTCTTGTTCAAACTGTGGCTCTCGCTTCAGCACCGCGTACATTCGTTTTAAACATTGCAAGGGTACGTTCCCAGGATCAACGCACCACAAATTTTGATTTGGAACGGTTCAGGATGACGAGGTCGCAACAGTTACGTTGATTCGCTGTGTTGAAGTCCCAGAAATGGAGTTCTGGCTCGATCCAGGATCGTCAAGACGTAACAGTCAGGTTGATCCGTGGCGTTGGACTCCCGGGAACAATGTCTTGGCATGCTTCGGGGTCTTCAAACGGTTTTCCAACGAGGCAGTTCCCTCAGTGGGAATGAACACATGTAGGCGGAGCTTGGAGGGAGGGTGTATTCCAACATCGTTGATGGCTCTTGGGCTTACACGGGTCATCCTCCTCCTCCTCCGCCGCGTCCTCCTCCTTCCCTTCTTCCTCCTCCTCCTCCTTCTCCCCCTTCTCCCTCGCCCCCCGAGGAAAAAAAACAACACGCCTTGCGTCGTCGTCGTCGTGGCCGTGGTCGTGGTCGTGGTCGTAGTCGTGGTCGTCTTTGTTGTCGTCGTCCTCGTTGTCGTGGTCGTGGTCGTGGTCGTCGTGGTCGGCAGCACGTTCGGGTCTCCGACCACATTCTTTTACGTTAGACCAATCTAAGGTTACCCTGTGGCGTGACTGAAACTCGGCTCGGCTCAAGCAAAAAAGGACCTGGCGGGCGCCGCGGGACACGTGGGAAAACGAGACAGGGAAAACGAGACAGGGAAAAGAGTAGACAATTGAGTAGGCGCCAGCAAAGTATGTGAAGAAGGGCAGCTCTGGTACCTTGGTCAGTGCACCCTACCTCCTCATGCAATCCGAGCCCAACCTGTGAAACCGTCCCTTCATTATTGGTACCCGCTGTCGAACGAGAGTGCTGCTGCGAGAGACGTGCAAGAGAGTGGGGCAGCGATGTGCTACGTCAGAATTAGAAAGGATGTGCCTAGTAAGTCAGAGCATACAATCTTGTAAAACAAATGGCAATTATTGGGATGCTCATCCCCGTCTTCCTCCTCCTCCTCCTCCTCCTCCTCTTCCTCCTCTTCCTCCTCCTCTTCCTCCTCTTCCTCTTCCTCCTCCTCCTCCTCCGCCTCCTCTTCCTCCTCTACCTTCTCCTCCTGGCAGGGCAGCGTGCCCTGGGAGCCCCAGGACGCCTGCCAGCGCCAAACTGTTATTGTCGACCGCATCACTTCAAAACGACGCAGGCGTGTTATGAGGGCCGAAACAACCAACGTGGGGAAACCAATACGTACCCATACCGCTACTCCCTGGACCTCTCACGGGGTGCGGTTTGACCATAATTTCAAAGCGAACCCAGCAATGGCCACGAGGTTATCCCAGGAGGCCCAACCAAGCGAAAACGAGGGAAAGGTAGCGGTATAGGTACATGTTCTCTTCGGAACACTGGGCTAACACACGATCTGAGGACCATCGGCATCTCCGACGATGTGTGTTTCCCACTGGCGAGTGGCTCCTAATAGTGTTCGCGCATTGTCCTGCTTTTGATCCGCCTGCGCTTTGGGCGTCGTCGTCTAGCTTTTCGTGATCGTCGTCGTCCTCCTCCCCCGCAGCCACGAAATTCCCGGTTCCGCCGTCGCCCACCCCCTCCACCGCACCACCTCCTCCTTCTCCTCCTACTCGTCCTCCTCCTGCTACTCGTCCTCCTCCTCCTCCTCGTCCTCCTCTCCTCCTTCTCCTCCTCCTCCTCATCCTCCTCCTCCTCCGCCTCCTTTCCATCCGAGTCCTACTCGGCACTTTGAAGGTCAGGCCCTGGCAGGCGACGACACGATACCAAATGCAGGGAATACACTCAGCCGACTGATACGGGACCTCCTCCTCCTCCTGCTCCTGAAGCTCCTGAATCTCCTCATGTCACGCTTCCTCGTCCCCCGCCTCACACGAACTCCTCACCATGCTCCTGTTGTTACGTTTCGTCGTTGTGGTCTTCCTCCTCCTCCTCCTCCTCCTCCTCCTCCTCCTCCTCCTCCTCCTCCTCCTCCTCCTCCTCCCCGTCCTTCTCCTCCTCCTCCTCCGCCTCCTCCTTCTCGTCCTCCTCCTCGTCCTGCTCCTGAATCTCTTGAATATTCTCATTTCACTCGTCCTCGTCCCCCGCCTCACACGAAATCCTCACCATGCTCCTGGTGTTAGTTCTGGTCGTTGTGGTATGTCTTCTCCTCCTCCTCCTCTTCCTCCCCCTCCTTCTCCTCCTCCTCCTCCTCCTCGTCCTCCTGGTCCTCCTCCTTATCCTCCTGCTGAATTCCCTGGATCCCATCATGTCACTCCTTTCCGTCCCCCGACTCATACAACAAATCCTCGTCATGCTCCTGGTGTGTTGTCTCGTCGTTGTGTTATTCCTCCTCCTCCTCCTCCACCTCCTCCTCCACCTCCTCCTCCTCCTCAACCTCCTTCTCCTCCCCGTCCTCCTCCTCCTCCTCCTCCTCCTCCTCCTCGTCATCCTCCTCCTCGTGTTCCTCCTCCTCGTCCTCCTCTCATCCTCCTCCTGAATCGCGTGAACCTCCTCGTTTCACTCTTCCTCGTCCCCCGCCTCATACGAAATCCCCACCTTGCTCCTGGTGCTATGTCTCGTCGTTGTCGTCCTCCTCTTCCTCCTTCTCCTCCTCCTCCGCCTCCTCCTCCTCCTCCTCCTCCTCCTCCTCCTCCTCCTCCTCCTCCTCCTCCTCCTCGGTTTCTCGGTCGGTTTCTCCGCAGTGGTCTCCCCAGCGCGCCCTGCGCCCGGCGGGCGCTCCGGCCGCGGGCCGGGCGGGGGGGGGCGCGGGGAGGCCGCACCTGGCAGGGGCACAGGCCGGAGTCTTTCATCCGCCAACCGCTGCCAGGTGCTCAGCGCCGCCCTGCACAGCGTACCAGCGCCCAGCCTACATACTTGATGCAGTCGGCGGTCGCTACCGGGCCAAGTAGGGCCAGGAGCGCCGCCTGCTGCGTCGTAGGCGCCCCGCCGTCGATGGATGTCCACAGCTGGCGCCGTGACGCCGAGGTGTGCCCGCACGCAAGCAATGCATGGGAGACGTCCACCTCTGTGCTGGGACATGCACCACAGCGCGGCAGAACCAGCGGCGCGTCCTCACCACCTAGGACTGGCAGCGGCCAGCGGCCAGTCACCCTGCATACTGCCCAGAGCCTAAAATACAGATTTCCTCCATGATCTTCAAACATGTATTGCTGCGTGCCTCGCTGCATGGCCGGCATGAGGCTGCGAAACGGTAGCCCCAGACATGGCAATGGACGGTCAGCCGCCGCATCTACCGATGGTTGGTCATAGGCGCGCAGGGCTGGCAGTGCCACCTCTTGGCGGTACCGCCGTAGCAGCGACCTTCGGGATGCTGGCGAAGACCGGGCTGCGACCACCTCCTCTGTGAACCCCTCATGGGCGCTGATGTCCCGAATGGGCCCGTTC